CCTCCACCTCTTCCTATGTGGGTGGCGGGCAAGGGGATACATCTAAGGGGGGGGTTCCCTGTGAGACCAGGGGGGTGTCCAAAGGGAGGAAGGAGGAGGAAGGGCTGCCATTCTGCGGCCTGAGCATGTGCACGTGTCACACAAGTCCAAGGCCAAGTCCACCATGTGGAACTCGGTGTATTTTCCCAATGGGACAGTATGGCCTAGGAGAGCAAGAGTCACAGGGTCAAGGGACACTTTTATCCTTGACCTTGGAAACAGGACCACAGGCAGTGCCCTGCTGGACTGCAGAACAACATTGCCAACAGCATCCCGAACTAGGGGCCTGAGCTCTTAACCTGCTTCTCCCCAGAAACACTGACACAAAGAACAGCCAGACTAGGGCTGCCTCACATGGCCGCCGGCCCCCCTCATACCCCCCAACCCGATGCTTCCGCCACTGGAACACGGTCCTGGCCTTCATCCTGCTGTATACTGGCTGAAGTCAGGGACTTCCTCCCCTACTCACTGGACGGGAACCAACTCAAGAGCAAAGGCCCGCAAGTCCTAATGCTGCCCCCACCCCCCCAATCACTTCTGCCTGCAGCTCCCGCAGCCCACACTGCACCCCCTCCTTAGCAACCAGGACCAGCCCAGACCTGACTTACTCGGAGTGTCTGGGTCTAAGGAGCCCTAGCCCACAGCCAGGTGAGACCCCAACCCTCCCCACCCTCGCCAGCCCCAAGGAGCCGGCACATTTTGCAGCCAAGCCCTTCTGCCTACAGCACCTGACACGAGTACATGAAGTCTAAAACCAGGCCTTGCGATTCAGAGCCTGGCTCTGTGTGTGATGTGGGGTGTGGCTGCGGTGTGCGGAGGAGGGAGGGACAATCCAAATGTGAACCATACCCTCTGCAGTGTCCTGCTGGGCTGGGGGAACTGTCCATGCAACCCCTGCAGGAGCGAGGCGTGGGATGGCAATTGTGGGGCTGCACTTGGGGCCGTGAGCATCCCAGCAGCCGCCCAGCGGGCAGAGAGGGTGCCTGAGCAGGGCAGTGGCACCAAGCCCACTGGTTGCCTAGCAACGGGGCCAGGCAGCTGAGCCCTCCTTGGGGTTGGTTCCCAGAGAAATGCTCTGGGCATCCCGGCCAGCTACGTGTGGGCCAGTGGGCATGGCAGGGGAGGGAGATGTTGAGATTAAGCCAGGAATGAGTACAAGGGAGAGAGAGGCCAGAGGGTTGGCCAAGCCAGATGGCCCCTGGGCATCCCAACCAGGCTGACTACACCTCCCAACACCACCCCCTACAGAAGGGAAGACCCCCACCTCATCCTGGCCACCCAAGCATGCCCCCCACTCACGTTCCAGCCGCACTCAGCAAGGGCACAGATGCCCGTCTCCATGCCTCTCACCCCGCACCACCTCCCCCTGCACTGCCCTCATCACCCACTTCCAACCGCCGTCCCTAAGCTGGGATGCCAGGGATGAGGCCAGGCCCAGGAGGGAGGAGGGTGAGCCCCAGCCCGGAGAGAAATCGGCGTGGCAGGTGCAGGCAAGCTTCCGTATGGGTCTGAGCGAGGGCATGCCAGCTCGCAGACCACTGCGGGGACAGACAGGGAACGGCTGTGAAGAGGGACTCCCTGGAGGCCATAGAGCAATGACTAGGTCCTCAACCCAGTTCCTGGGAGGCAACTCTGGGCAGGACTGGGGGCAGGTGGGTGGTGAGGGGCAAGCTGGGGCGGGGGGTGGGCACTGGAGAGGCGGGTGGTGGCAGGGCCCACAGTCAGCCTACCTGTGCGAGGAGCTTGTCCCCCTCCAGCAGCTTCACCTTGGTCTCCAGCTGCCTGATGTAGGTGGACGAGGGATCTGTAACAACACAGAGCGGGCACATTAGCCATCAGCAGACCATCTGCAGCAGGAGAGCCCGCTGCCCCCACTCCCCTCGGGTGGGCCTCTGAGCCTGGGTTTCTTGGACCTGCAGAAAGAGGATGAGGGGGACCCTCATCAGCTTGTCCCAGGCCAATTTGGGTCCAAAAAGAGTTCTCACAAATGATCCCCTGATGGGACCCTCGCCCAGGGGCAGCCCACACTAAGGTCCAGGGTCCAGAGAGGCCCCTCCCCTGCAGAGTGGGGACCTGAGGCTCCAAACACGCCAAGTCAGCCTCTGGGCTTCCATGTCTCCATCCTACCCAATGCTTAGGAGCCTCTACAATTTTGCGGGGGGGTAGAGGGAACATAACACAGGTAAGCCACCACCTTTCCTGCAGTCAGGGGCCGGGTGCCAGTCCCAAGCATGCATGCCTCATTTCTGATTTCATTTCTCATTTCTCTGGCCAAGCTGACCCCACTTTACGGCCACAGTAGAAGCAGGAGAAATTCCACCACTGGGGCTACCTGCAGCCCAGGTCCTGCTTCCCCATCAGGCTGGAAATAGACTGAGAAAAGAAGAGTAATGACAAAGTCACTCCAGGCCAGGACAAGGGCAGAGGGGCAGGGGGAGGGGGGCGGAACACGGGAATGGGAAGGTTGGGGCAGGTGGGGCAGGGGACCAGTCACAGCAGATGCAGGTGTGGAGGGAGCACAGGTGGATCTGAGCACCTCAGTGACAGGAGGGGCACCTCCCCAAGGGCTGTGCAGCCACGCGATCAGGGCTGGCCCCATTCCCAAATGCCACGACCTTCCAGGCCTGGAGCTCGGCCAGGTCCCGCACACTCCTGCCCATCGGCACCACTGTCCTCCAAGGTGCCCCCAGTGATGGGAGGCGGCTTTCCTGCAGAGGTGCCTGTTTGCCCTTGACCTGCCCACTGTGGGTCACTTTGTTCCCCAAGCATCTCAGAAGGACCCCCAGGAGCCTTGTCCACCAGCCCTGGACCAAACCCAGGCGCATTCAGCCCAGCCCTGGGCAGGAATGGGGGCGGCCCAGCTCCTCCCTTTAATGATACAGCTGACTTCCCCGCCTACCCCACTCTCCACACCAGTCACCTCTCAGGAATGCGGAGCCTCCCAGGGAGGGAGAGGCCCCGCCCCAACAGCCTGCCCACAGTCACCTCTGGGGTCATCCCCCCGGCAGCCACAGGGCAGCTCTGCTGGGAGCCTGCTGTGTGGCCTACAAGAGCTGAAGTGTCTTCCTCACAGCGCACAGCAGGGCAGTGGCGGAGGGGGGGCTGGACCCCAGGCGGTGACCCCAGGCGGGAGAGGCCTCCGACTTGGACCCTGTGCCCATACCCAGGGCTGGGCAAACCCCCCACTTCCCAAACAGGAGACCCTCGGCGGCCATTACAGTCCATGTCCGGTGCCCGCCCCCAACCTCGGTTTACCCATCAATCTGCCAAAACTGACCAGCCATTCCCACCTCCCTTCCACGTCCCACCCACACAAACAGGACTTATGGGAAGGGCCTCAGTGTTCAGGGGGTGCTGGGCCCTCTGAGTATGTGAGGGAGATGGGGTGTAGCCTGGGCTCCCCAGCCCTTTGGGTCCTCCACCTGCTGCTGGCAGGAAGGTTCCCTGAAACGCCAACTGGGAAACAGTAGACAAGATAAACTGTGAAGACCCTCCCAGCTCTTTTATCCTCACATGTTAAGACAACCAGGGACCTCTGTGTGGTCCCCCTCTGGGTGGGGTCGGTGGGAGGGGACTGTTTACCCCGTGTGGGATGCATGGCAGCCCCTGCATCTGGCGCCTCCTTGCAGCCTTGCAGGGACTAAGCAAGTATCATCTCTGTTTTCTAGATGAGGAGGCCACAAGGAACAAAGTCTCCACTCGCTGGCAGATGAGTGGGGAGGCCCAGGCCCTGGACTTCCAGCCCTCTCCCCACCACCCACAAGTCAGTGCTCAGGATCTGAGCGTTTGGCCTCTCTGAGCAGAGCTGACAGCAGAGGTCCCTGAAATAAGACGTGGTTCTTGGTGAAGCATCTCCCCAGATGCTCCATTACTGCCCAACCCTTGGGCACAGCCTCAAACCAGCGCCGCTGTTCACCACAGCCCCACCCTCGGACGCACTGCCCAGCACAGCCCTGACGTTGGGGGAGGAATCAGCCGCTTGTGTGTGACCGATGGCCTGAGTGGGGTCCCTCCCGCACTGCCCTAGACAGCCATGGAGCCATCCCACCAGTGGGCACGATGCCCACTGAGTCTCCTGGCCATTTTGTCTCCCTCTGCCATGTCTATGGGGTGAGCCAGGAGCCCCCAGGACTCCCCTTCTTGGTCAGACGGCAGTCGGAGTTATGGCCTGGGACAGAGTCAACAGACGTGCCAACCAGCTTGGCGCCCTCGCTGGACAGCAGGCAGGCCGGACAAACCACTGCTCCTGTCTGAGCGAGGACCTCACACCCACCTCCTGGGACGGCAGTCCAAAGAAAAGAGTGGCGACAGTGCCAGGAGCAGGGACACGGGACATCTCACGTCCCACAATCAACCCAACCACACCCCCCCACACCCACCGCCAGCGCCAGGCCTCAGGGCGCACAGGCCACGTCGGCGGCTTCAGACCAAGGAGCTGCCCTACTCAGCCCATCTGTCTGGGGTCGCCCCAAACCCCAAGCGGCTGTGGAGAATGAGCCACACTTCAGACACCAGCGTGTGCTGGGATTTTCTTTTAGTTTCGAAAGAACAATACAAGAATCAAAGTAGTTTTCAATCCTCCTGGGCTGCACCTATCTAAGGAATTAATTCTAATTATGAAGAATGCAGAAGGTGTTACAGTGGCCAAAACTGGAAACAACTAGTTGTCCAACAATAGCAGCGAGTTTACACCCTGCCATCACTCAAATGACGTTGTGTCCTAAGCAATATGGAAGAACGCAAAACGAAAAGAACTGGACACAAAACTATATGTGCAATTGCTGTTATGTTTAAAAATACCCACGTATTCAATTGAAGTCAGGAATGAAGCACATGGAAATACTGACCGTGGGGTTGCTCACACGAGGGAATGGGTGGTTATTTTTATTTATTCAGAGTTTCTTGTTAATTTTCAAATTATCTACTTCTAGAAGAGGGAGAAATCTTTCTTCTATGAAAAAGGAGAATGGATTAAATTACTGCACCCTCACACTGCAGAGGCCCCGTGAATGTCAAAAAGGGCAAAAAGGGTGGCCAAGAGGGTGACCAAGAGGACGGCCTGGACAGGTGGGCCCAATCAGCCCTCTGCCCTTCTCCCAGGCGCAGGCCCAGTCCTGTAGAGTTTAATGGGCTTTGAGGCCCCCTTCTGGAAATCCCGGATACGCCTCCCTTGGCACACCGGACTGTCCCCACATTCAGCTCCCCAAACCAGGCTCTGCATGCTGCCAGGAGCCAGGTAAACCGACATCTGGTCACCTGTGAGTCAGCGCAGGGGCCTGGCAGCGGGGAAGAATGAAAGCTAGGCGGACCCTCAAGTCGGGGGTGGTGGGGAGGGAGAGCAGGAGGAGGGCAGGGGTGCCAGGAAGGGCCTGGCTCCCTGGGAGGACGATGTTTCCAGCAGCCTCAGGCAACTCACGATCCCTAGGGGCGCCTCCATGCCCCAGCCTCTTGGAGACAAGTGTGTAATTAAATTAATCCTAGGGTTTGCAGTAATGAGGAACGGAGCCAGCAGGGAGGGACGCGTCATTTCCTGGCTTGACTGCTGGAGGGGGAATGAGGGAGGTGACTAGGAAGGGATCCCTGGCCCTCCCGGGGCTCCCTGGCCCAATTCTGGGGATTCGTGATCCACCTTCCATCTGGGGGACGGGGGTAGATCCCTGCAACATTCTCACTTCCAGAAGCCTGAACATCAGCCCTCCCTGCGCCCCTCCTTGTTCCCGGGGCGCAGGGAGGACCAGTGCAGCCCATGGGTGGGTAGGAGTCAGGGGGCTGCAGGGTCTGCAAGCCCTCCCACCGGCACTGATTGGTTCCACCGAGGAGTCCTGTGCCAGCTCCTGGCACTGACCATCAGGCTACTCTGCCCTCCCAGAAGCTGTGAGGCCGGGAACAGGTCGTGCCTCCCCTCCTGGCCTGGTCAGCCTTACCATCAGTCCAAACTGCAAGAATGTGGGGGCCAGAGGCCACGTCTGATCACCCCTGTCACCCTCCTGACCTAGCTCACCATTGGGCACATAGTAGGCCCTTGGGAAAACCTACAGACCTAACAGGAATTCATCCGGCCGGGTAGCTCAGACCCATCTCCCTGAAGGAGAAAGGAGAAGGTTCTCAGTTCTATGAGCTCCCACCAGCAGCAGCTACAGGGAGAGTAAGGCACGCTCAGCCTGTGACTGTGACATGCCGCCCAGGGACACCCCAGACAAGGAGCTGCCAGGGCCACAGAGTGCAGAGCACCCCGGCGGCCAAGGGCAAGTGCCTCTCAGACGTCAGTCCACAGCAGTTTACAGCATCGTCTCGTGCCAACTTTGCCATTTGTTTACATCTTAGTTTGAGTGAGACAAGGTTTCACATACAAAGGGGTACGTGGGAGGGGACCCTGGGAAACCCAGGTTGGGGGCAGGGAAGTGAGGCATGTAACTGAAGGAGCTGATGAGAAGTGTGAATCCCTCTTGGGACCTCAGAGTTGCTGGCCAAGGGATGACTGGAGGGAGCGGCTCCCGGCCCCAGCACTGCCCACCTGGGGAGTGGACAGGAGAAGCTCCCGGGCAGAGCTGCAGGGCCAGCAAGTGACACAGGCGGTGGGCCTGGAAGCAGTAGTGTGCCCAGGGATCTGGATCTAGCGTCTGCCACGGCTCAGGAGAAGGTACGATTTTCCCTCTCTGCATAGAGGGAAGTGGACAGACGCTGGGGAGGGGGGGCACAGTGACAGTGACATGGGCCTGGCACTCCAGCTGCCACCTCTTCCAGGGACCCCACCAGTCCTGCCTCCCTTCCAGCCCCCTCTCATCGAGCAGGGTCCCCATAAGG